CAAAGTCTTGGTTGCCCTTCCATGCCTTGAATAGGCCGAGGAAACGCCACAGGAAAACGTACTGTTCTCCTTTCACGAAAAATGGACGCATCTTCTTCTTGAAGTAATCTACTCCATCTGGGGCTGCAAGCCTTTCTCGGTTGAGTGATTCTTTTTGTACTGCGGCCAATCCGGAGAGCCTCGTCTTGAGAGACGGACCTCTTTTGGTGTCATCCAGCGTTGTTATGTCGCACCAGTCGTCAATCAACTGTTCATACTCAAACCACGAGGTGGTGCCATCATAGGCAGGCGCGATCTTGGGCGTTATGCCTAATGATGCAAGCATGCGGTCAGATGTTGCATATGACTGTGCGACATAAGTAGCTGGACCTTGGGAGGTCTCTTCGTTCTCATATCCCCCGGAGGATTGGGAACTGCCGTCGGCTTCGCTATGCGAGCTCGACATTGTGCTGCCTCTTATCCGCTTGGTTAAGCGTTCGGCGAGGCCGACCGCTGTAGCGGACTTTGTGAGGCGGGCGGCCCTTTCCGGGCTCCGCTACCAGAAAACTGTGCCGATACACCCCCAAGGGATACTCCTTGTGAGGAGGTGTATGACCAGTTATTCCCTAAGGATCAAAGGGCAGCGCCCTGCACACGGACAGTAGTTGGGAGAGCTTGTCTTGTCTCAATATGGTAAAACCACTGTGAGCCAATGGGCAGCGGAATGTATATGTATGAGCATGCAGCCATTGCTGTAGGTACCTGTTAGAGCTACCCCTTTAGAGGTTTATGGTTTCACCCCCCCCCCGCCCCCCCAGCCCCACCCCACCCCCCCCCACCCCGCCCCACCCCAGCCTGGGGGGCTGGGGCTGGGGTGGGGGTTGGGGCTGGGGGGGGCCGTGGAGGGCTGGGGGGGTGGGGCCAGCACCCGCCCCCGACCCCACCCAGCCCCGGCCCCCTACCCGCCATCCCCAAACCCCCAAGTCCGCCCCAGCCCCCAACGCAGCCCTCCAAGACCCTAAGGTACCAGGCGACCCCAGCCCCACCCCCACCCCACCCAGCCCCCACCCCCCCCCAGCATTCCTGTTCATGGTGGGCGGGGTGGGGGGGGGTGGGGTGGGGTGGGCGGGCTTGGGGGCTGGGGGTGCAGGCCCTCTCTCTCCCCCCTCCTTTCCGCCCTTCCTCCACCCGCCCACATGCGGAGCTATTCACATGCTGGGGCTATCCTGTTTACAGCGCTTGCTGGGTGGCTTTGCCCCTATCCTGTTTACAGCGCTTGCTGGGTGGCTTTGCCCCTATCCTGTTTACAGCGCTTGCTGGGTGGCTTTGCCCCTATCCTGTTTACAGGGTTTGCTGGGTGGCTTTCCCCTATCCTGTTTACAGCGCTTGCTGGGTGGCTTTGCCCCTATCCTGTTTCAGCGCTTGCTGGGTGGCTTTGCCCCTATCCTGTTTACAGGGCTTGCTGGGTGGCTTTGCCCGTATCCTGTTACAGCGCTTGCTGGGTAGATGTGTGGGCCCTCGTGCCATGCTACTACTACTACTACTACGACTACTACTACTACTACTACTACTACTACTACTACTACTACTACTACTACTACTTCTACAAGGACCAGTGTTGGTAAAACTTTAAGACTACTATTATGACGCACATGAATGCAAATAGGATGGCCACTGCCAGTACCGTTGCCCTATTACTGGGTTACTATTGCTCATAGTAACAGTGCGGCTGTTGTAGTATTGGTTTGGTTTTGCTACCAGGGACAGTGGCACATCATTGTTCTTGCCGGTGCTACTACTGCTTCGAACACTGGCTTTATTATTGCGACTATGGCAATGGCACTAGGAGGATCGGTTTCAGCTAACTTTCATGCAGTTATTCTATGGCATGACCATGATGACGACGATGATATATACTTACTACTACCATTACGTACTATTGCACGCTACACAAGGGTGGGGAAAGTAGAAGCAGCCTAGTAACCTAGTAAGAGGTAAGCAAAGTGGAGAACAGGTACTACTGAGTGCTACTGTTACTACTACTAGTACTAGTAGTAGTAGTACTACTACTACTACTACTACTACTACTACTACTACTACTACTACTACTACTACTATTACTACTACTACTACTACTACTACTACTACTACTACTACTACTACTACTGCTACCACTACTACTACTACTACTACTACTACTACTACTACTACTACTACTACTACTACTGCTACTTACAAATACGGCTAGTACTACTACTTCGATTACTTCTGCTACTAGCACTACTACTACTACTGCTACTACTGCTACTACTATTACTACTACTGCTATTGCTACTGCTACTACTACTACTACTACTACTAGTACTACTACTACATTCATGCTACTGCTACTGCTACTACTACTACTACTACTACTACTACTACTGCTATACTGCTACTGCTACCGCTACCGCTACCGCTACCGCTACCGCTACCGCTACCGCTACCGCTACCGCTACCGCTGCTGCTGCTGCTACTACTACTATTACCACCACTACTACTACTACTACTACTACTACTACTACTACTACTACTACCACCACCCTGGAAGGAAGAGATGAGGATGAACTCACAGAGAAAAAAGCCCCTGGAGCTTTCAGTTGCACAGTGGCGGCAGCAAGCGGCAGCGTGGCGGGATGAACTCGAAGTTTCGCCATCTTTCAAGCCATTCAGCAAGCTTGGTTGCACGATTCAAGGTTTGCCTCTGGTTGATCGTACCACAGAGATTCTTGATCTGGTTGTTGCATCCTCCACGAGAAGCTTGAATCGAAAGAGCAGGAAGGATGTGCTTTCTGCCATCCAGAATGTGATCGTGGATGTTTCGCAGAATCCAAACAGGCGGGCTTTCAAGCCTGCCAACGGTGTGATGCGTGCATTGACGACTTCATCACGCTTGGTTCATTTGGGCCAGATGCGCACCATCCTTCCATGCGAGATGATGTTTTTGCAAGGGCACAATCCTGAAACAACAAAGTTTCCAGATCCCGAGGTCATGACACCAAAAGCTTTGCGGACATTGGCAGGCGAAGGCATGTATTTGCCCTGCCTGGCTGTGCTGGTCTTGGCCTTGAAACTCCAGGGTCTTCTTGTGACAAACTGAGATGATGGTTGCTGTCATGGAGCCAGAAGCATGGGGCGTGCAGTGCTTCATGATGTCATGACGACTTCTGCTGCATCGCGGTGACAGTGTGGTGCAGAGTGCAGTGTATACGAGTGTAGTGTAGTGTAGTGGACTCTAGAGTCTCTAGAGACTCTAGAGTGTGCCCGCTCCATTTCATCGCTCTGTGTGTCGGCCACAACAACCAGTTTAAATAGCTAAATAGCTGATAGCTGTTCAATAGCTGGAGCTGTGATTATTCTTCAGTCAATGAAGCTTGCTTGGCTGTTCTTTTGCAGTGTAGCAAACACATGGCTCCAAAAGAGAAAGTCTGAAGCTTTTGCCAGTGGCGGGTGTGCAGAGGTGGGCAAAGCCAGCTAGAGTGTAGATGTTGGCAGACGGCCCTGTTTTTTTGTCGTCGAATTGTGTTTTTTCATTCGAAGTACCATATAGTGCCTTGGGCCTTGGCCAGACTGCTTAGGGACTGCGTCTTGCCATATAGTATCGCCTGAAGTGGTACTGCAGTGCTGCAGGTTCTTTTCCTTGGGGTGAGGTGTGGTGATGTTAAAGCTCTTGTACATTGTAGGCTGCCTGGATGCATTCAAGGGCAGTTCTGACCAGGGCCAGTTCTGTGTCCAGGAGAGGCATGAGCAGCTAGCAAGCACCTGACCATGATGAGGGTCATAGTTTGCCACAAACATAGCCATAGCCACTTTTGTCATAGACACTATCCCATGGCGTGATGTCGGTCTCAGTTGACACAGTGGTCAGGTGGCTCATGTCCGGCAACCTGTAGAGTCGCTCTTGTGTAGGATCGATTCCCAATGCCGCGACTGGTATAGTACACTTGTACAGACATGTACGGCATGACAGGTCGCAGCTGCATGACTGTTGTGATGTGATGTCCAGGATGGCATGCAGCCTGGGGGTAGACTGTATTCACTGTATTCGACTCTCTCTATCGTATCATTTGCCGTCTGTCGAACATTAAGCCATGTCTTCTGACCCTTGAGTGCTATTGCTGCTATTACTGCTATAAATTGCTAGCAGTACTATTGCTCACTGAGCTGGTGCCATCCGATGCTCCATCGCCTCATGTGGACTTGTGGTCATGGCAGTACATGCCTCCGAGTAACTAGCATGGACAGAACCCGAGGCTAGTTATATCTAGCTGCCAGCTCAGTGTGGCGCCCTCTCATATTGGCCCAGCTGCCCAGCTATGTTATCCAGATATTCAATTAGTTTATCAACATCACTTTTGCTTTATTCAACCACTTTGTCAACCGAATTTGAGTCTTGGGTGCCACACTTCGAATCAAATGTAGAAACAGAAGACAAACGTCATTTCTGCGTGGACGAAAAAACCCGTGCCGACAGGTGGGCCGGAACGCCACTTTAGCCCAGGCTCTTGCAAAGAGTTTTCGACGTGACAGCAGGCATTCATTCTGATGCTGAATTCACGAATTTCCTGATCTGTTCGAGCACAGAGAGCCCAGCCAGACTCGCCCGGTGAAGGCTCTGCTTTGGGTGTGACACCTTGTGACCTTGCGCCATGCCAACTGCCACGGCAAAGAGTGGGGCAAGGAAGAAGCAGGACTTGCCACTCTGGCATCGCTGTAAAATCAAGCATTAAACTTAGCCGTATAGCCTTAGTCGGCGAAATAGGACTTCAATGGAGTCGAGTGATTTGCAGTCGGAGTGGGAGCCAGGTGGATTGGCGCAGGCTGCAGGAAACTTAAGATTTCAGTGAGAGGTCTCAGGTCAACGCGGGATTGATGTCATTTCCAGCTATATACTAGTTTTATTATTTAACAAATTTACCGTCGGTCACGAGAAATTCCATGAAATTCCAAGTTTCAGTCAAACCTTGGTCCATGGCTTCTTCATGCAGGATCAGCCGGCGACTCCTCCACCAAAGAAAGCCAAGCTCGACAAGAAAACCATCATTGCAGATGACGACGACCTCGATGATGATCTTCAAACCGAACTGCAATCTTTCATGGAGGGTGAGAGCAGCAGTGCTTCGAATGCGCGGCCTGCGTCAGCTTCGAATGGGAGGCATGCGTCAGGCCGCTTGGCACTCGCTGTGAAACAGGAGCTCCATGAAGGCAATGATGCAGAACCGACTTCGGCAGCCACCCCTCCCAAGACTCCAAAGACCCGGCAAACCTTGAAGAAAAAGCCGCCGGCGGGGAAGAAATGGATTGTCTGCCCCATCTGCCTCCAAGGCCCGGATGCGTTCCAGGCAGGTTACACACACATGACAATTGCAATTGCATTGGCATTCACTATTGACTAGTGCCTGGTGGCTTAGCTGAGGTAGGCTTTTACCCTGGGTTCATGAGCTAACTCCGGTTCTTGCTGACAGGAAGGCATGTGGTCCGACTATGACCGGCAGAAGAATCCCATTGGCATGGGCTGCAAGGTCCATGTTTTTGTGATACGGATCAGCTACCCCCAGATGACGTTGCCTGAGGCCGGTGTTCTGTACCATTCCAAGAGCGAGCAGGGACGAACTTTCAAAGTCGAAGTGAATGGTGCTTCTATGCTGATGGTCCGTGTGCTAGAGAAAGATTTGATTCCAAGCCTTCTCCCTGCGAGCTCTGTAGCGATCCAGAAGCGGCATTCGGTCGAGATGTCCTACACGGTGGCCTTTGTCAGTGAGACTGATGTTCTTCGAATTACCGGTGTGGGATCGAAGAACCTCAAGCTGGGCAAGCCAACAACGCTGCCGAGTGAGGATGGATCTGGGCAAGTGTCTGGATGGTACTTGTCTGTGATTGGCATGGACCCGGCCCTTTTGAATGGCTTGCGGACCATCAAGATCTCCAGTGCCATGGATTACTCGCAGGTGGATGAGCTGCTCAAGCCTGAGTGGCAGGTACGAGCCGGCCAAGCTGCTGATGTCTTCAAGTTTGCCATGACCAAGAACCTCGAGCAACGACCGTCCGAGGAGACCACGGCAGGCAGACCATTTCTCAAGCAGCTCAGCGTGCTCATGGAGAAGGGGGCAGCCATCATCGAGGAGTGGCTTTTGGGCAGGTTGGTAGCTCTGGTGCTGCTGCTATGCCATATGCCATGCCATGCCGTTTTCAGGATGTGTGTGGATAGTGTGTAGTTAAGTTTTTTCAAGTGTATTCGTATGTCTGTTTTGATGCATATTCCTACTGCACACGTACATGTACACAACATGAGCACAGCGCACAGGTAGGATGTAGGAGGAGCCGCTGGGCTACGTTTGTCTTTCAAAGTCCTTTGTGCTCGGGGTTGACCGGAGAGAAAACCAATGTGATGCTAGGGGTGATGACGATATAGATTGATGGATATCAGATATCACAGAGTCATAGAGAGCTTCCATAATTGCTATCGTGTCACTTGAGTCATGTGTTGAGTCCCCTTGGCTGTGGAACCGCACGGTTGCTTGAAAAGGTTGTTTGGCGGGTTTCAACCTTGCTTTGCCGCAGCGTGGTGTTGCTGAACTGGCAGAGGCAGGGCTTGGTGCCAATGTATAGTATAGTCGTATACTCTAGACTCTAGACTCTAGACTCTAGATCCGTGAATTATGCATGCAAAAGCAGATCAATAGGGTGCCTGACGAGCGGAGTTCCTGCGGACAAATCGATCAGTGTGTCTTGTGAGTGAAGTCCAGGTTTCAGTGCCCATGTGGCCAAAAGTCGTGCGCAGTATCTGTATCTTTGGCAGTGATTGCATCTTCAAGATTTGTGCATGCAGGAGCGGGAGAACAAAGAGCAAGATGATGCACCACCAGAAGAGGAGAATGACCAGGTCGAAGACTTGGACGATGACGTTGACAATGAGGATGATGACATGGCGACAAGTGTAGGTGGCAGCACAGCGCTTCCGCCGCCACAAGTTCCTGCATTCAACCTCGGCCTCGGCAACCAGATCGCCCAGCAAATCACGGGCAAGAAGCGTGTCACAGGCAAGAAGCAGCAGAAGAAGCAAGAGGCAGATGGCCCTCTGACTCAGGATGACCTCCTGGGTGAGGAGGAGATCGAGCGGCTCATCAGCCACGATGCTCAGCTGAAGCTGATTGCCAGGGCAATGGACAACGCCCAACCGTGCTTGGTTGGCCTCCTGCCATCCAGGACCTTTGTCGATCGCATGAAAGTGGGACACCAGCTGAAGGGTGTGACTCGGCAGATGCTTGTGGTTTGTGATTTCAATACTCATAGCCGCCATCCGTAAACTCCCAGCCCTAAGCCTAAGCCCTAGACTCCCTAGACTTAAACTCCTGAGACATTGCCATAGCCCAGATGCGCAGATGCTAAGACGCTTACAGAGGCAAATGTCTGGTTTCAGGCACTTGGCTATACCTGGTACCTTCCGTAAGATTGTGATGAACCCTTGTTTGATGTACATGAGAAGGGCAGCAGAGGTCTTCTGGAAGATCCAAGCAACATGGGTTGGGGTTTACTAGTCGGAGTGTGTGAGGGTGGGGTGGGTCGCAAGTAGGAGCAGTACAATAACTGGAAACAGGGTGTGATTGGAAACATTTGGAAACAACAACGGGTCACTGGGTGTAAACTGTAAACATTATAGTAACTATAGTAATGCATAGGTTACATAGGTCCTGTCAAACTAATGTCTGTTTGGGGTGTTTGTGTGGCACATCCGATATCCGCGTATCCGACATATCCGGGTTTTGCGGGGTGTATGTATGTTGGTCCGTGGACGAAAAAATTTTAGCGATCTGTCGTTGCTTGGGGAGTTGAGGGCTTGGGGTTGACAGTTGAACCATTTGAAGCCGAAACAACAGATGTATTGTGTCACAGAAATCCAATGCCTTGCCCCACCGAGGCCAGGACACTGCTCAAGAGGCTGCAGGACATGAAGTCCAGCGCAGCCGGCGTCCTGAACAAACGCATCCTGCTTATCGAGAAATGCCAGTTGCTAGAGCACAAAAAAATTTCCACCATCCCACGGCCAGAGTTGCTGAGTTATGTCGAGGACATGAAGGAGAATGAAATCCAGTTGCCGTTGCGTGTTCGACTAGACATCTTCGAACGCCAGGTGGAGTTCTGGATGGAGGACTTCTTTGCCACGGCAGCCGAGGAGAACCCCGCACAGGACCCGGCCAGCAAGAAGAAGGCCATGGATTCCAGCAAGGAGTCGGCCACCCACATCGTGAACAAGTTCTGTGTCTGGGAAGAGTGCACAGCTTTGGATGAGATGGATTTGACGGCACAGAGCATCCTGAATGCAGAGCTGCAGCGCCTCCAGGCCGCCAAGGCCTCCGCCCAGATCTCCAATGAGGAGCACAGCAAAGAGGTGCAAACGGCATTCCAGGCCAAGCCCTTTTCCATTTCCTCCTGGTAACTAACTAATCAAACGGCTTGTGCAAGGATGGATGCATATGTTTGGCATGGGGTGATCCATTATAGCTCCTGAAGTGTTCGTGTTTGTTACGTGTCAGGCTGTTGGAGAGTGCCTGACTGACAGTCTGGCCAGCCACTCTTTCTTGAACGCCATCGCGAACCCTGTCCCTGTCAAACAAAAGTTGACATTCATCTTGGACGCCTTTGCTGAAAAGTTCATGGGCTGGGAGGCCCATAAGGGGCAGGCAGACTTTGAGGCAAATCCGGCCTTAGATTCGCAGGTGCAGCGGATCCAGAATGTGGTGCGTCCCCTTGTTGGCCTTCTGTTCGTGACGCCGAATTACAAGAATTCTTCGGTTCAAGTCATCAATGATCTTCGAAAGTACCGTGGAGCTGATGTCCTAGAGGCCACTGTGCGTGACCACTTGCTTCAGATCCCCTTTTGGAAGAAATTGTATGACGACCTTGTCACCCGCGGCACTGGGACAATCTCGATGCAGCCCACCCTCACAAGGCTCACAGACCTTTGGAACAGGGACACCCTGGTTTCCGAAAAAGAGCTCCGTGAGACGGTCCAGGAGGTTCCGAAGATGCGAAGCCAGATGCGTGCCAATGCGACCAGTGCCTTGGAGAAGGTGATGCTGAAGCGCCTCCTCAGCATCTCGAAGAGCCTTCTTGATGCCAAGACCGTGCAAGTGGGTCTGGGCTTTGTGCAGGCGCTGCAGGACGCCCTCAGCCTTTTCAAGGACACCCCGGGTGTGCTTCAGGCAGCGTCCAAGCTCGAGGCATGGAAAACCACAAACATGGGAGCCCTTGGAAGCCAAGAGATTGCTTTGCTGGTGGACACATACTCCCGAGACCGATCCGGCGACATGACCGAGCATCACCTTGATCACTTGATTCCCTTGGTCAAGCTCCTTCGGCAGATGCCAAAGTTGGAGCTGTCTGAGTATGTGCAGGAAGGCTTGAAGACAGCTGTGTATTGGCATTTCCGTGCTATCCACTCCCAGATGCAGGCCAGGCTGTGAATACAACATTATATCATTGTGACATATGCCTATGACAATAAGCAGCCTGCTGGTTCGAGGTCACTTCCACCTTGGCTGGTGTCAGCCTCTTTTGTGCTCTATAGTATTACTATAGGCTCGTGTAGAATGTAGAACTTAGACTTAGACACCGATCCAGAGTCCACCGTAGCCGTAGCCTGTCTCCGAATGTTCTTGTTCGTGCTTATCGTCACTTCGGCCATGGGCTTTCAGACTTGAGGTTGAATGTTTGATAGAAAACCAGAGGATTAGCGAGTGTAGCGCCTTTATTGGCTACTCTGCATTGTGGACTTTGGGAACATTGTCATGTGTCAGACATGGCACCAATCAGAAGTTTCGGCTTGTCATTGTCGGCTGTTATCTGCATTATCCACATGATTGTTCTTTCTCGACCTTCCATTGCCACCATGCTGCGAACAGCTAGAAGATCCCGCTAGACTCGACACCAAATCACAAAGGACATATTAGGATAAATTTTACTGCTCGGTTATTCTTGACATCTAGGGCTAGGGTCTGTTGCCTTGATGGCAGCAAATGATTCCACAATTCTATTGCATTCTCTGTCTGGTTCTTTATAGTTTATATCCATTCAACCTATTCGATTTGCTTTTGTGTCTACTCGGCCTTATCTGCCTTATCTGTCTTCTGCACTGATTGAACCATCGAATTATTTGTGAATATTATTGGCTCGTGACAGGCGAAGCCACCCCGCATGGACATGCAAGAGCTGCTCCACCTGCAACAGCTCCTGACGGTTATCGATGCACAACCTCCTTCAGTTCACGAGATGCCTTGCTACGGCGAGGTGTGGACCGGGACATACCGCTCGTGGATGACACTAAGCGTTTTGCTTTGCATCAGGACCCAAGACTTCAACAATGCATTAGTGGCAATGTCAAATCTTGCCGGTCAAGATGCCAGGGGCAAGATGGCGGAGGATGCATCCGGCAAGCTCTTCAAGGCCCTCCTGAAGGCAGCTCGCATCATGCAGCAGACGCTCCTGAAAGTCGAGGATTTGCAGGTGGAGACGGCCGACTTCGTTTCCGGGCTGGGCAATCCAGAGCATGTTTTCCACTTCGGGTGGACTAAGCCTGCGGCCCAGCTCCTTGACGGTAACTTGATGATGGATTTCTTGGAGGTCAAGTCTGCCTTCCTTTGCAAGGAGCTCGAGAAGTGTCAGACGAAGCTCAGCAGAAGCACCCAAGGGATGCACGATGACGAAGGTGACAAAACTTGGAAAGCAAACCTCACCGCAGACGCACGCATTGAGGACGTTCTCCAAGTTGGCCTCGCGGATAACGGTGTAACATCCCTCGATGGCGTGGTGATCGATGGTGCTCTCAAGTGCTTGAAGGAGGCTGGGTGTAGGCCAAGTATAGCTTGAGCAAGACTTATGGAGGCATGGTTGTAACTATTAACTGTTATTACTGTTATTAACTATTAACTAGTTATTATTAACTAGTATCCTGCTGATTTGTGTAGCCGTGTAGCCAGCCCCTCATCGACTCTATTGATTCTATGGATTCTATGGCAACTCCAAGATCGTGCCATTGATCCATCCTGATTTCGAGGATTCTAGGATTCTAGGTGTCAAGCAATCGAAACTGTTCATGTGTTTGTAGTCAGGTAGCCATGGCCTTGAATATCGAACATTCTGGCCATGTGTAAATGGTGGCTGCTGGTAGCTGTGTAGCATCATCAGCCCCAGTCTTAATCCACAAGTTATTCAATCG